TTCTTCTGTTCTTTAGACTGAATAATCTCTATCAGTCTGTCTTTACATTCACTAATGTTTTCTTCTGCCAGTTCAAATCTACTGCTGGGCCCCTCTAGTGAAATTTTCATTCCAGTTATTGTAACCTTCAATTTCAGAGTTTCTATTTGGTTGTTTTAAAATAATTTCTACGTCTTAGTTGATATTCTTTATTTGATGTGACACTGTCGTCACACTTTCTTTTAGTTCTTTAATCATGGTTTACTTTAGTTCTTTGAATATATTTATAATTGCTATTTTGAAGTCTTTTTCTGATTCTGATATCTGGTTGCAATCACAAGCAGTTTCTGTTGACTATTTTTGTCCAGTGGGGTCATACTTTCCTGTTTCTTCGCATGTTTCATTGTTTTTGGAAACTGAACATTGTAGATAATATAAGAAGCAACTCTGGGTACTTGTACCCTCCTCACCACAGGGCTTGCTATTTGCTTTTTTATTTGTTCAGTGTCTGGCTAAATTGTTTTACTTAAGACTATTACCCCTGCTCCTGATGTTAAGCCTCAGATGCTGCTTCCCAGGGCGGAGCAGCTTTGGGTACGCCCACAGTCACTGGGGTGACGACAGTTTTGGCAGCTCTCCTGGTCTCTTTCCCTTATGATACCAAGGTGTTAAGCTCGAACTGGCAGTTGACTGCTTTCTTGTTTTCAAGAATGCCCTAGGACATAAATTGCTCTAGATAAAAATACAACCAAACCTGGGTTCCTTGAAGGAACAGTTCTCACGGTAAGTGTTTGGTATTTGTTATGACCGCAGGAGGGCGCCTCCCAGCTGTCTTTCCAGTTCTCGTGGGCAAACTAGCCCGAGTACAGTTTCCTTCACTGAATCTCTCAGTATCCTCCCAGTTACCTTGCACCACAACCTCCGCCTGCTCTTCAGAGCGCCCTTAGGCTTGAATGTTCGAGTGCACGCTCTGTTGAAAACAAGCCAGTTCCTCTGGGAAGAGATTAGGAGCCACTTGTTTTACCACGTGACTCTTCCCCCAGGCAGAGTCTCAGAGCCAGGGCGCTAGAGCTGCGAGCAGGGCTCTGGGTGACACCCTCGCTCTAGGTGAGGGTCAGTGCTCTCAAGTCTACTTGGCTTGCCTCACTCAGTGTAACCACTACCTTAATAGCTGAGAGAAATTAGGGCCCCAGTACTCTCAGAGGTACAGAGCTCAAGGCAGAGCCTCCATTCTACAGGTGAGGGCAGAGGGGAAGAAGGCAGCCCCCACCTCCCCGCTGCACGCATCCAGAACTTGGCCTCAGCACAAGCAGCTGGGAGCAGGATGAGAAGCACTGGGGTCCTGTTCCTCCGAGGAAGAAAGTCTTCTGACTGGCAGCTGTGGGGAGGGGACTCCTGCGTCCCTGGCTGCGTCCCTGGAATGGAGCTTCTGCCTCACTGAGCTGGGAAGGGGAAAGAGGGATCGGGCTTTGTCCAAATACCACAGAATTAATAAAAATTATCCAATTTTAGCAGATTTTCTTGAATAGGTGTTTCTTTAAAGTGAAAGAAAATTATTTTCTTTTCTCTTCATCTAATCCATTTTTAATTCTCTTACTTTCATGTAGATCTGACTTTTTGACCTAAATTATTTTCCTTCTCTCAGAAGAACTTCACATTTCTTGTAAAGCTGGTCTACTGGTAACAAATTTCCTCAGTTTTTCTTTGCCTGAGAAATTCATTATTTCTCCTTCACTTCTGAAGGACAGTTTCACCGGATACAGAATTCTAGGTGGTGGCTTTTTCTTTCAAAATTTAAAGTATTTTGCTCTACTCTCTTCTTGCTCACATGACTTCTGAAGAGAAATATAATGTAATTCTTCTTCTTGTTTCTTGATAGGTTAAGGTTTTTCTTGTCCCCTCTAGCTTCTTTCAAGATTTTTCTCTTTGTCTTTGATTTTTCTCTGGTTTGAATATAATACACTAAGGTGTAGATTTTTTTTGTATTCATCCTGCTTGGTATTCTGTGAGATTCCTGAATCTATGGTTTGGTGTTTGTTAATAATTTTAGAAAATTCTCAGCTGTTAATACTTCAAATATTTCTTCTGTTCTTTCTTCACCTTCTGGTATCGCCATTATTTGCGTATTACAGTTTTTGAATTATCTTATAGCTTTAAAATACTCTGTTTTATTCTAGTCTTTTTTCTTTTTGCTTTTCAGTTTGGGAAGCTTCCATTGACAAATCTTCAAAATAACTATTTCCTCTGCCCAGAGCATTACTCTGATGAGACCATCAAAGACATTCTTCATTTCTGTTACAGTGTTTTTTATTTCTAACATTTCCTTTTGATTTTAAGAGTCTCTCTGCCTCTGCTTACATTACCCGGCTACTGTTATGTGCTGTGGACGTTTTCCACTAGAGTCCTTAGTATATTACTTATGGTTATTTAAAATTCCTTGTCTGATTATTCTAAAATCTCTGCTGTATTTGACTCCAATCTGGAGTTTGCTTTGTCTCTTCAGGCTGTGCTTTCTGCCTTTTAGCATGACATTTGATTTCAGTGTTGAGAGCAGGCATGATGCACTGGGTAAATGTGCATGAAATGAACAGCCTTCAGGGTGAGGCTCTGTGTCCACCCGGCCGGCAACAGGCTGTGTTCAGGTCTGCTGTAGCTGCAGGGGTCAGAGGCCAACGTCTCCTCTGCTGTCCTGGTTTTGTTGCCTCTGCTGTGCTTTTGTTTCCGTAGAGACTCCTTAAGCAGGGCCTGGGAGGCGCGGTTCTCTCAGCTTTCCCCCTGTTACACGGGAGCCCTACTGCCGACGTGGGGCGAGGTGTGGGGGGAGTGAGCGCATTCCGTGATCCTGTGATTCGGTCTCAGTCTGCCAGTGAGCTGTGTCCCTAGGCTGCCATCTTCACACGTGCTTTTGGTTTTTTGTTTTTGTTTTTCCCCTTTGAGTGAGGCAGGAAGGCTAGAGGGGGCTGGAGCTGGGTAGACTCTGGTAAAAACAGCTTCCTTCCCGCGCAGGCCTTAACAGTGAAGGAGAGCAGAAAGCTCTGGGATTTAAGAACGGCTACTTTCCTTCTCCCCTGAGGGGACGCAGGAGAGGACTCTGCTCAGATTTTCACTGCGAGAACCTGGGGGGGCCCCTCATGGCTGGACTTTCACACATTCTTCTCTCTCAAGGGAGTCCATGCTCAGATTCCAGCACCTGGCCAACTACTCATTAGCTATTCCTACCAGAGGTGAGCTGCACGGGCGGTTTCTGGGTGGCCTCCTCCTGGGTACACTCTGCGTCTCGGTATCTGCTGTCTCCAGTTCCCAGTTCTGTGTGCCCTGTGGTCTCAATTCTCTTGCAGATCCAAGAAGAGCTGCTGATGTTCAATCTTTCAGCTTCTCTTTTGCTGAGACAGGAGTGATGATGTCCAAGCTTTACATGCTAAAGAGGCTAAACTACTTTTTAAAAGAAAATTTTTTTGTATCTCTCCAATTATCGACTTACACTAATTTGCTAGGAGTAAACTTACTGCACAGAACAGGGAAACAAACTGAAGGTTTTTCATATATACTGCCACACTTCCTTCCAAAGAAGAGTGAAAATTAGCAAGAGGAGACCGCACTGAGATGGAGCCGGCAGGCCAGAAGGGGGAGCCCGTGTGCACACGTGACCCCACCTCAATCCCAGCAGGGAGACACACCTGCATCTGCAGCAGGAAGCGACTCGTTCTACTGCCGGCAGGAGGAAGAAACATTTTCTCCTACTTGGCAACAGCTCAAGCAATGAAAAGCTACTACACTTCAAGCTCCCAGTTTCCTCCAGCAGGCTTTTTGTTTATAACAGCCCCTTCAACTTCACCTTCTCTTCCATAAGAGTTTTCCCTCCTTTGCTTGACTGGACTTGCACGTGGTTTGGTTACTGATGCATGTTGCAAATAGCAGTTCTTTGCTCCTCCCAAAAAAACCATTTTGCTAATAAAATAAGTGGCTGCTTTACTGTTTTAGATTAACAGAAGCTGTACCAAAATAATCTAAGCGTATTTTCACCACCTTATTTTCCTTCTCATAAGCCTTCATTGATCCCTCTTTGGTTCAAGATGAAGTCCACTCATCTACACCAAAAACACATTTCTCTGGTGGCTGCACAGGGTCACTGAAATCCTCTGCACAACCTGGCCCTTACTCGTTTTTCAGTTTGATCTCTCACCACCCTCCAACGCCATCCTTTGGTTCTAATGACTGGCGAACTAAAAGTCCCTGGGACATGCCATGATCACTCCTTTTGTTTTTGTTCATCATCCCTCAGTATTAGTAATGCCTTCCTAAACCTTTTCAGTCTTCTTCAATTCAGTCTGTTCTCACAGCTCACCCTGGCCTGGCCCATTTCACCCATCCCATAGGTAGCTATCCACAGGGCAACACCTTCAGCACACTCGGAAAGATGTCAGGAAGCCAAGAACTTTCCACAGAGCAGGTCTGCAGAGGATGGGGCATATCTACTCTCTGCAAAGTGAAAGGGACTAGTTTAGATAAATAAAACTAAGAGTCTCTGACAATTTGGGATAATTGAGAGTTGAGTTTATGAACTAAAATTATGTAATTACAGCTTTTGGAGTTTTGCTTCTATTTTTTCCAGCTTTTTTTTTTTAAAGAGTGGAATCATGACTCCTCCATTATATGATCCTCCTAATTTAAAACCTCAATACCCCTCAAAATAATATCTTGGATCAATTAGTTATTTTATTAATAACTTATTTAGTGACATTTAAAAACTTACCTATTTTCCCCTCTCTTTAGAAAAACAACAAAGCAGTATAGAAAATATACAAAGCAACTATTTCTTACATAAATGCATCAACAGATAAGTAAATAAAACTTTAACTAGTGTTGTAAAGGATGAAAAATCTAAATAATTAAGTAAACGCATGACACAAAGAATGATGATAATTAAAACGAAGGAAAGCTGTTACCAATTATGAAAAGAGGTTTTTCAGTCCTAACATTTGATTTCCTTAACTTAAAAAAAAAACAGAAAAAAAACTTACGTTCGATGTGCTCAAACATGACCGAAAAGAGGAAGTCTCGTGGTGTCATGTAACACTCTCCTTCATGCTCCAGGGACGCAAACTGCAGGAAGCGCTGTTTACGAAGGGACGACTTCCCCATCGTCTCTCCATAGTCAACATTTTTCTAGAAGAAAAAGAAATTGCAATTTAAGATCGTTTTCTCAGTATTATTCCCCAACTTAGCTACTTCTAGAGTAATCTTTAAAGAGTAATTTTAGTGTTTAGGTCTAACGACCTCCAAACTTTTAAATCGTTTCTGGAACAAATATTTACTGACGGCCTGTTCTGAGTGTGAAGGCACTGAGGATGCACAGTGAACGGGGCTGATCGGAGGGAACTCGCACTCCCCAGCAGGAGCACGATGATTAACGAATACATGCATAGAACAATGTAAGACAGCAAGAAGTGCCACGAAGAGCTATAGAGCAGGATAAGAAAGTGGTGAGAAGTAACGGTTTAGATAGAACAGACAAGGAAAGCCTCTCCAAAGAGGCGACCTTTATGGAGACTAAGCGAGGGCCACCTCGCGGGCCCTGGGGCTCTCTGGAGGAGGAGCACCCTCAGCAAGGGGTAAGGTGTGGCAGGAGATCAGACCAGAGGGCGAGGAAGGCAACAGATCATGTAAGGCTGTGCTTTCGCAAAGATAAAATATTCCCTGCCCGAAAAACAGCTCTGCTGTTGGAAATCTACGAATATCATGGGTGGAAAGTGCAGAAGAACAAGAATGGGTAAAACACTGTCAGTGTCAGCACCTGTGTCCCGGGCAGCGGGACACAGGTTGGACCCCAGTGCTGACAGAGACAGTACTGAAATCTTTATTGCTGACCTTTCACTGAGCGCTTACTTTACACACTGCACCCATCAGGTGCTTTCCAGGGAGTACTTAGTTCATCCTCACACTAACTGAACGGCAGACACACAGCAGACAGGAAAGCTGTGCAGTAAGCTGTGTCCGACTCGAAGCGTTTCCCTCTTAGCTACCACGCCATCCTCGTCCCCGGGGTTGAGCGCTGTGTCCGAGGCAGACTGGAGGAAGATGACATGCCAGTTAACACAGACACCAAGGTCAAAACAGTAATCCTGACACAGGAGGTAGCACTCTCACTCTGGACTGCTCTCCTTAGGGCAATGCTCCAACTTGGACCACAACACTCGCCCTGGACACATCACTTCCTTCTCACGCAGACAGGCAAGTGTTCTTCAGTGAATGCTGACCAAGACCGAAATGGGGGAAAACATGAATTTTAGTTGTTTAAACCTCCCCAAATTCAAAGCCGTCAACAGCTCCTTTATAGAGGACCTCAGTATCTAACTAGTACTAATTTTCTCTCACCAGGTTGACAGCTGGTTTTCTCGAGCAGCGAGTTTTGTACCCCTTTCGTGTTCCGTGCAGAGCCTACCTGAGTACTGGACAGACCCGAACACTCACTAACACTGCAATGACTGTGTCACTACCATCTCTAGAACTTGCCTATTCATGTCTTTCCTTCTCTTTCCCCTTAAATTACTATTATAAAAATAACTCAAGGGGCCTGTTTTAATTATATGAATCCATACTCTTATCCTAGTAATCAGAAAATTGATTTTCATTAGTATTTTCTGAATATACCATACACGAGGCCGATACACTATCATCTGCTGTATTACCAAGTTGGTAAGTGCGTATCTGTAGGAAAACCCTGGTAAACAAGACGAACACTAAGTCCTCCTGGAACGGACTGGTACTTGTTTTGGTGGTGAATTTACAGGAAGTGTACAGATGGGACAGGGAAGGGGAGGCAGTAAGAGTCTTCCCAGTGGGAAGCACTGGCAAAGCCAGATACGAGACAGGAAGGACAAGACAGTGTCCTGAAGAACTAAGGAAGCTGAACACGAACATACACATTGTTAGTTTAGAGAGTGTTTGTATTGACTATACTAATGTTACTATATAGTCTATTAAGATATTTTAAAAAGTAAATACTCTACATAGAAATACAGTATATGTATTTCCAAATCTTTAAACAACTGTTGGCTCTTTTATACTAACATCTAAGTTGTTCATGACTAGTTAAAAAAGTACCTTTTACCAACAACTTAATTCTTTTTATACGAACAAATTCTCCTTTCCAAACTTCAGCCAACTAAAAGGGACCGGTTCCTCCTCCTCCTCCTCCTCCTCCTCCTCCTCCTCCAACGGTCTCATGACAAGCTGGCTCGCTGCTGCACATCCCTCTTGGTTTTCCCGTCCTCTGCCCCATGGCAGTCTGACTCTTCCTTGGTCCCAACCTATGGTGAAAATGACCCGGAAGTAAAAACGCAAAGCTCCCACTCTCTCATGACAAGACATGAAAACTATTCTTAAAGAAATCCTGTTTTTACTTCTGGGAGATTTAGACCCTAAAAATTCCTCTGTCTCATGGTAACCATATTTTATATGCCTGTATGTGTCTATAACTTGCACAAGTCTTTCTGCAGAGTCTTGAGAGGGGTCAATTATTCTGAAAGGCACCATCTTAACATGCTGATCACCACGTCATCCAAATCCAGGTGACGGCTGTGTTGCCAGAGGGGCACGTGATCCACAGTAGGCCATCACCGTGTGACTGGGCTGCTTCTCATCTCTTCCAATTTTGGTTAAATATCCTCTCCAGGATGCACAAGAAAAAGTAGAGAAGGTGAAACTGAAGCCCCCTTTCCTGGGTTGATCTCATGCCATGATTCAGCACTGACTCTTCATCAATGCATCAATCCAATAAAGTTGGTTTTTCAGTTTCAAAATGCCAGCATATGAAACTATTACATTTTAAAGGCCGAAGTCAAGTATACAAATGGCAGAAGGGAGATTCAACAGCCTCACAGTGAGATGGGAGAGAAACATTAAACAGACCTGGCCACACCAGTCTGGATCAATCAGCGTTACCACAACCAGTAAACGGGCTCTAGGTCTATTTACGCTGGTATCGGCCTTCAGGCACGGGGGCACTGCTAATTATGCAGGGAATGTTCTGTCAAAAGCATAGGAGAATATGTAATGTAGTTTAACTGTTTTTAATGTAAATCTTGCATAAAAAAGATGTTGGATTGCTCACGAGGGTAATTTTAGTTGTCTGCAAGATTCACTTACACAGCACAACTCACACTCCACTGATGCTGTGTAAATTCAGCATCACTCCCTAATTTACTACACACACCCAAAGTGCTCTGTAGAAGGTGTGCTACGTAGCCATGCCAGGGCTATGTCCACGTCGACTGAAAATGACGAGAGCTGGGAGTGAAAGCAGAATGTCTTCAAGAAAAATACACGTAGACAGAGTTTGGGCTTGTCATGAATACTATTACATGTCAAATAAACCACAGGATGCCAGTCTTTTCATCTTTCCAACACTGTTAACACAGATGTTTAAAAGAACCTTCCACTAGTGTATTCTTAGTCATTATATAGCGAAACGTCACCTACAGGAAAAGCATCTATACCAACCACTCAGGACGCTGCACACAGCTTGCGGGGTTTCAGGATGTCAAGGGATGTGACTGTTGTCTCCCGGGGCTAAATCAATCCCTTTCAAAGATAAAAGGTGTCGTAAGGCAAACCATAATTGTAAGCAATTTATTTAGGGTATAAATTTCAGTATAAACGTTTCTATTCATGTCTAAAAACCTCTTTGGCTCCAAGGACTGTTTCAAGGCTACGGTGAGAATCTCAGCACTGAAGGGAGCCGGAACCTCCAGGTTTCATGTATATTTTATATGTGTGTATATATACACATATACATATACACATACATACATATACACATATCACATACACGCATATACACACATATGCATACACACATATATACACATATATAAATATAAAAAATGTATTTACTTTATTTTTATATATCGCTACAAAACCCAAGTATACCTTTTTTCCTTTGACTTTTGGTTTTTACTCTCAGTCTATGTAATAATCCATTTGGAAATAAAATCTGGGACGGTCCTTTCTCCATGCTAAGAAAAAAGGTATGACGTAAATTCCTGAGACTTCACTCTTAGTAAAATCAAAGGGTCATTAAAAAAAATCACCACCACAAACTAATGAGAAAGCACTGAGTACATTTTCTTAAAGCCTCCCGCCCATAATCTGACAGAGACCAGAACCGAAAGCAGAAAGTAAGCCCAGCCATGCTGAAGCCAGCTCTGAACCTCCACTTCTTACTTGTAGAAAGACACAGATCATCTGGATCCAAGTGTAAGACAGCAACGAGGAAAGAAAACGACGAGGAGGTCCTGGAAGACTTTGCAGATGAGGGAGCTGCGTCTGGCAGTGGGCGTGGCACCCTGCCCGTGAGCAGCACCGCTCCCAGGGGATCTCCTACGGCAGTCCCACGCACGCATGGCAGCGGAGCGCACCGGGGACGGGAGTCCTCCAGGTGCGCAGGTACCTAGACACCAGGGGCTGCGCGGTCGTGCCCCGCTGTGGCTCCTGCCCCTCACTGGCCGCCACAGGCCCCGCGCTCGCCTCTCCTCCCGCATGCTGCCAGGGGAAGGACCAGCACCAGCAAGTCAGCGTGCGCTTGAGCAGAGGGAAATACTGACCACACTGACCGAAAACCTAGCAACTCTGTACCAGGGCATCTCTCTAGGGAGGCAGGCACCCCAAATAGGGGAAGAGTGAACCCAAAGGCCATCGCCGCGGGTGGGAAAAACCCCAAATGGGCAGAGGCGGAACGCCGGAGCAGATCTCGGACAGAGACACGCTCCCGACCCCAGAGCCGGCCGGCTCCCGCTCCAGTCCCTCGGGCAGCGGAACCACTGATACAGGGATACACTGTTAACGCCCTGCTCTCCAGCTGCTGAGGACAGGGGGCTCCGTCCAAGACAGAAAGGGGTCAAGGTTATATATTCACACCGTTCTTGGCAAATAACATATCTGGCTAGAACATCTCTTTAAAACCTGATGGGCCTGTACAGATTCTGTGGAAAAATGAAGCAACAGGAAACAACAATGAAAACCAAATACTGAAAGAAAGCAGAAAAACAACCACAGAAAACACAATGCGATGGGCTTTAACACGTCGGAGAGCAAAGGCAAGACGCAGGACGACAAACAGGTGAAGGGCAGCCGGCAGAGCTACGCAGAGGACGGGAGACGAACACCAACAAAAGCACAAACCTCACGAAGC